CAACCCTGTCATCCGATCAGGCCTTAGCCAGGTTGGTACACTTTGTAATCAAGTTTTTTGGCCGAGCATCATATATAAAATGAGTTAATCACCTATACATTGGCAGTGTAAAGTTTTTTTATACTGGCAACCAATCATATCTTTTAATAATATCATGTCAGTTGCTTATTTAATGAAATAATAATAAAATAAGCAATTTTAAAATATATGATTGATTGCCAGTGTAAAAAACTTTACACTAATAATGTATAGATGATTAACTCATATAAAATTTGGTAATCAATTTTTTGGCCAAGGACTATATAAAATTTTGTGATCATTGTTTTTAACAAAGTTTTTACGCAATGGACTTTAAAAGTTTCTTGGCTGGAGGGTCTTTAACATATTCAAAAGGTTGTATGAAGGTCTTTAGCCGAGGTGTCATCAAAAGTATCGATTAAGGGCTTTAAGTCGATAACTTTACTAGGCCGAGGGATTAAGAATAAAATTTGATTAATAAGCTTTGAGCCGAGGGGTTAATAAGCTTTGATTTGTTTTTTATTCATGATCGAGTTTGTTTTTGACCGAAGAATCATGTTTCAAATCACGCTCAATCATTGCTTTGCATTTTCAACCGAGTTTGATATTGCTCGTATTCTCGATCGGGTGTGCCTTCCGTCCAAGGTTTTCTATTTACACGTTCGACCGTGACATCGATTGAGAGTTGTTTTGTTCCCACACTCGGTTGAGGGTCTTGAGTTATTTTTACGTGCTCGATTGAGTAAGTCTTCAACTGAGGTCTTGGGTTATTTCTCCAACTTGGACGAGTGTGTTCTTAGTCGAGGCATTGAGTTGTTTTTTACGCTCGATCGAGTAGGTTCTCGGCCGAGGTCTTGAGTTATTTTTCACGCTCGACCGAGTAGGTTCTCGGCCAAGGTCTAGATTCATTTTTCACGCTCGACCGAGTGTGTCCTCGACCGAGGTCTTGATTCATTTTTCACGCTAGACCGAGTGTGTCCTCGGCCGAGGTCTTGAGTTATTTTTCGCGCTCGACCGAGTGTGCCCTCGGTCGAGGTCTTGAGTTGTTTTTCAAGCTCGACCGAGTGTGTCCTCGGCCGAGGTCTTGAGTTGTTTTTCAAGCTCGACAGAGTGTGTCCTCGGCTGAGGTCTTGAGTTATTTTTCACGCTCGACCGAGTGTGTCCTCGACCGATGTCTTTAGTTATTTTTTGCGCTCGACCGAGTGTGTCCTCGGCCGAGGTCTTGAGTTGTTTTTCAAGCTCGACAGAGTGTGTCCTCGGCTGAGGTCTTGAGTTGTTTTTCGTGCTCGACCGAGTGTGTCCTTGGCCGAGATCTTGAGTTATCTTTCACGCTCGACCGAGTGTGTCCTCGATCGAGGTCTTGAGTTGTCTTTCACCCTCGACCGAGAGTGTCCTCAGCCGAGGTCTTGAGTTGTTTTTCACGCTTGACCGAGTGTGTCCTCGGCCGAGGTCTTGAGTTGTTTTTCAAGCTCGACCGAGTGTGTCTTCGGCCGAGGTCTTGATTCATTTTTCACGCTCGACCAAGTGTGTCCTCGGCCAAGGTCTTGAGTTGTCTTTCACGCTCAACCGAGTGTGTCCTTGGCCGAGGTCTTGAGTTGTTTTTCACGCTCGACTAAGTGTGTCCTCGGTCGAGGTCTTCATTCATTTTTCACGCTCAACCGAGTGTGTCCTCGATCGAGGTTTTGAGTTGTCTTTCACGCTCGACCGAGTGTGTCCTCGATCGACGTCTTGAGTTGTTTTTCGTGCTCGACCGAGTGTGTCCTCGACCGATGTCTTGAGTTGTTTTTCACGCTCGATCGAGTGTGTCCTCAACCGAGGTCTTGAGTTGTTTTTAGGCTCGACCGAGGTCTTGAGTTGTTTTTAGGCTCGACCGAGTGTGTCCTCGGCTGAGGTCTTGAGTCTAGGCGCTCGTTAAACCTAAAATTATTTCTGGTATTATTATTCACTGGGGTGCCTCGTTAAAAACCTTGCTTAGTAAAAACCCTTTCACGTTCTTTTAGGGATAAAAAGCTAAGCAAGGAAAAGAGTACACCGAATTATAATGTTTTTCAAATGTAATACATTTTCAAATGTGTTGTATTCCATGTTCTTGGCATTAACTTTCCATTTAATTCTTCTAGCTTGTATGCTCTATTTCGCATGTTTTGATTAATTCTGTATGGTCCATCTCAATTGGCCGAGAGTTTTCCTTCCCTTGGATTCTTCCTTGCTTCCCAATTGGCATAGGCTCGGCTCTAGCTTGATTTCTTGATTCAGTTAATTCCTCCATTTGCATTTATTCATATCCAACAGAGGTTTTTTGCATAAACTATTTACAAAAGGTTCGAGGTTCAACGCTGTGTTCAACTTATCCATTATGACAGTCGGGTTCAAGTTTTTTATCTCCATTGTTATTTTGTTAAAACGATCCATAAATGACCTTAAGGATTCCTTCTTTTCCTATTTGATGTTGGCCAACGCCAATGATGTTAGTTGGTAAGGCCTGCTTGTAGCAAATTGTACTATAAATAAAGATGTTAGTTCTTCAAATGAATTTATGGAGCTGGGAGAAAACTTAATGAACCAACTCAATGCTCATCTTTTTAGTGAAGTGGGGTAGAGGCGACACAAAGCAGCGTCTTTTGTTGTCAGCAAGGTAACCTGTGTGAGATATGCATTGAAGTGGTCATAGGGATCTGAGGATCCATCGTACTTCTCTAGAGGAAGATTTCTCCAGCTATCAGATATGGTTGTCTCCATAATGTTTTGAGTGAAAGGGTGCTTGTATGAGCCAGGTGTTGCCACCACTAGTGGAAAAAACACTTTTAAAATCGGTCGTTTTTGACTTTTAAAATCGGTTCTGTGATCGATTTTAAAAGAGCCGATTTTAAAAGTGGGACTTTTAAAATCGGTCAGCCCATGACCGATTTTAAAAGTCATGACCGATTTTAAAAGTTGTTAATTTTTTTTTTAAAATATTTGACTTATTTTAGAAGGATCCCTGAACAAAACCTGCAAATTAATAAAATACCAGACAATTCATATATTTTTAACATACCAAATTACATACAAATAACAAGAGTTGGTAAATGTCAACCATATATGTAATCAAAGTAACTTACAAATTATGTACATCCTAAACTACAAAATGAGTAAAACTATAACCATAACTCGTAGCTAGCCAATGTTTCAATGAAAAATGTAGCCCATTGCTCCCTAATGGTGTTTATATCTTCTAGCGACAATGGTGATCGATCTATAAATATCTGTTAAGAAAATTTAGAACAATTAGAAGTAACTCTTAAAACATGATAAAATGCAAACTTAAAATAAAAAATTTTAAAATTCTAAAACGTACTTCAGTCCACCCAGATACTATTTGTGAATCAACAATAGTATGCATTGCCTTCATTACATAGTATCCGCACTCATAGTTTCCTTTTTGCTTATGAGACTACAAAAAGAATATAAAAACCAATTTTAGTAGTAATGGTAATTCAAAAGAAAATACCTTAGAAAAAATATCATTACTAAAATAACTTACTTTAAGAGAGACCCAAAACATTTTTTTCTTCAACTTTGAACCTTTAAGCATATGGTATCCTTCCATAGCCCTAATGATAAAAGGACATCATTATTATATTTTAAAATAAAATGTAATGATAAATAAAATAAAGTAATTTTTTTAAAACAACTTACTTATCTAATAATTGTTTAAAATCTGCAAGAGGGGGTTTGTGCATCGAACAAATGCATACAGATATATTGTCCATAGGACAAATAATCAGAAGTTGCCAATGAGCACTGCATTGATAAACTATCAGTAATAGAAAATACATTTTTTAACAATTTATAATCAATTATATACAAATATACTTACTTAGAAAAGTAAGGAACTAAGTAAACTTTTTTATTTGATTCAGACATCCAATTTTGGATGTAAGCTTGAATTTCTTCTGTCTTGTTCCCAATTTTTTGGATTAACTCGGGTTCCAAAAATCCATAAATGTGATCATTCCCTTTATCCACACTCAATTTATGGATAAATCTACAAGGTTAGAAATAAAGTTAGAAAAAAGCAACAAAACATAATTAAAATTAATTCAAATACTTACAATAACCACAATTGCAAAATTGATATGTTCAGCATGCAGTGCCCATTTGTAATCTCTGATATGTCACTCTGGCTTATATACAAGGGGACATTACTACAAAAGCCAAACACTTCAGGAGCCCAAGGGACCTGTTCTAGGCGAGTCGCATTACAACAATTAACACAAGGACAAAAAACCTTCCATTCATATCATCATTCGCATTTCGTATTACATATTCAATAAAATATTCTACTCCAGTCTCATACTCATCACTTATACGTGATGCATGTATCCAACTTCGAATCAATAACCAACTTTTATCCATAACTTCTGTTCTTCATTAAAAAAAAAAACATAGACCATGAACGTTAATATCACTATTTTAATCATTTGTATTAAATTTTAAAAGGGAAACTAAGGTTCACTCAATATGTGTATAAATATAACATCATACTAATTTATAAAAATCAAATAAACCACCTAATTTTTCTAAACACTAAATTACTAGGTAGACATTAATTATATAACAAATTATTAATAAAATACAAATATATAACACATACATACAAGGGGTCCAATTTAGAAAAATGCCTAAAACTGCTTCAGTGTCTGGAACGCCCCAGAACGGGCTGTTCTGCAAGTAGAACGGCCTGTACTACTTGCAGAACGGCCCGTACTGCAAGCAGTACAGGCCGTTCTGGGGTCGTTCCAAACTCAAAGTTCGCCCAGAAACAACGAAATAAGACGCATGAAACGAAAATGTTACCTCAATGTTGTATTCGTCCCAGAAAATGAGAAGCTGCACACTTCAGATGAGAGTCCCAGAGAGTAAAAAGGAAGAATATATGATATTGAAGCAAAATAGTAGAGAATGGAGCAATAGGAGCAGAGATAGTGTAATTAATTCTCTGATACTACTTTTAAAATCGGCTGTTCAAGAGCCGATTTTAAAAGTAGCGTCAGGGACTTTTAAAATTGGTCATAACGTAGCCGATTTTAAAAGTAATGCCATTATTTACAAAATTGCCACCGCATCACTTTTAAAATCGGCTACCTGATGACCGATTTTAAAACTCCGATTTTAAAAGCCATTTTTGTACTAGTGCACTATCCGAGAGGGAGGTTGCCTAGGAATGGTTGATAACTGCATGGGAGGAATGTGTGTTTTTGGAGTTGTCGGTACGTGATATGAGGAGGCCTCATTGTTGGGCTATTCAGTAGGGTTCCAAGTTCTGTTCAAGCTTCTCAACTCGACATTTTCTCTCCAGAGTGCTTCAAGCTCCTAAGCGCCTCTTTCTCGGGCTTGGTTGATAGCTGCTATTTCTTCATGAAGCATATTCACAGCATTTGAGAGATTAGTTTGATCTTTCACAGCAACCGGCCCTGAGTCTTGTTCGGGTCGAACCGAGTGGTTGTTGTTCCTGGTAGTGACCATCTTCTACAAAATCTTCTTCTTGCAAAACAAATAAACAATGCAGGCCCTCAAAACGGGCTCCACGATGGGCGCCAAAATGTACATGCACGAGGATACTCCGGTAATTTTGCTACTCTTGCTGGGTCTTCGTCTTCCATGATGTATCCTAGGAAAAGAGAGGGGTACCTGCAAAAGGCACTCCAATGCTTAAGTCAGTCCTCGGTCTTAGAGATATCAATGCTAATTAAACTGGTAATTATGAAAACGTACCTTTTTTTTGTCACTAATCACACTTATTTATACTAACCTTAATGGGCATAGGCCCATATGTAGGCCCATAAGAGGATTTATTAGTGCTTATCCGTAATAAGCAGGTTAAGTAGGTTATTGTAATGAGCTGAGGACTCCTCGGTGTAATCATATCGAGAAGTCCTCAGTCCTTTTCTTATATTTGACCTAGTACTCATACCTTTATCTGGTATAAATTACATCTATAATTAACTTATCAAAGTGATTAAGTCTTGTCATAAAAATAATAAAAATAAAATAAAATAAAAATGATAAAATTAAAAAAGTTTACGGTTAAGTTCAAAATAGTGAGATAATTAAGCATGTGACACTTTCTATCTCACATGTAACAATAAGCATTGTAGATAATTATTTTAACAAAAAGTTTGTACATAAATAATCATATAAAAATCACTTTTTGCATTTTAGTAATATGGGAAAAATAATTAAAAGGATTCAACTATACCTATAATTAGATTACTAAAATAATTGTTTACATTAATGAAAATGAGTCTCGTCATAAAAAAAATAAAAATAAAAAAATAAAAATGATAAAATTAAAAAAGTGTGCAGTTAATTAAGTTGAAAATAGTGAGATAATTAAACATGTGACAATCTCTACCTCACATGTAACAATAATCATAGTAGAATAATAATTTAACAAAAAGTTTGTACATAAATAACCAACTGAATAACATCGTCTAGGAGAGGAAATCACATAACCACTCAACCTATCACTACTAGAATAAAAACATATAACAAAAATTAGCTACAAAATAAGTCTAACATCATGTCCTAGAAATAACTGAACAATAGAAAAGTCAACTCCTAATTATGTCTTGATATTACATCCTATCAAAGTATAACACAAGGTCTAAGTCCTGTCATCAGTATCATCAATTTCTTGATGACCCTCGCCTACAAGTATAAAAGGAACACCACAAGAAAAAGGGGAGTGAGAAATATTTCGCTTGAGCTCATAACGCAAAACATAGTCATATAGTTAAACACATAACAAGTATAATAACAAACTATGTCTGTGTATATATATAATAAGATAGAATAGTAGGGTCAATCACGATTCACAACAAGGTTCATCACACGATCACACATTAACAAGCATAATGAAATGGACACAAACATCAATGTGCATATGCATGAGACGTTAGTAAGAATCACATTGTTTTGCCCCTTGTCCAAAAGCACACAAGAGTAGCCTAGGAGATCATGTTTAGTCACACCCTCATAGCACTTTACACTAGGAAGAGATATACAAGGGTCTCATTAGGACAATTGTGTCGCGAAAGTTCCACTCCATGCACACAAGCCAACAAAATTGGGGCTTCCAAAACTCAATTGTCCCCGAGATCATGAAATCTCAAGATTTTACACAAAGGGGACCTTCTCTATCAGCATATTCCATATCATACCCATCAAAAATATTTATACATATGATGAATTTTGTACAAGACTCAATACAATATTATGTTGTCATGGTGCATATTCACAATTTGTCAAGTTGTCATCATATGACCCTCATAGGATCCTCACACACACATCGATTTGTCAATTTGTCAATAATATTTCACATCAATCATGCCTCACAATATCATAAATCCATATTCAAACTATCATTCTCTTTTATCCACATTATTAGCACAAGAGTCATATATGTTAATCACACATTAATTGCAAGCATGGAGAATCACTAGGTACAAGATAATGCCCGACGAGAGTCAGCTCATGCTTGATGTGATGCACTTAGGGAGCACATGTTGCTCTTTGGACGACTAGTGCATGACGTGACTAGTCTCACGCCCAACGTGAACACCAATGGGAGCTCCTCGGATCTCCCACGCTCCACGCAAGTGGCTTAGAGAGAACTCTCTACCCTCGACCACAATGACGCCCAATGGCACCCTACGTCACACTAGAAATGTCTAAATCAACAAAATAGTGAAACAGGTCCGTAACTTGCAAAAAATTCAATTCAAGGATTCCAATTGGTAAAAACGTTCTTTAAGCCAACAAAATACATCTACAAGTCAACATTTACATATTTGAACATAAACATCCTACTTGCCACTCTTAAACCCCAAACATCCATTCCTTAGGTTCACACAGAAACTCATGATGTAACATCCTGTTTTTCAAAATAATAATAATAATAATAATAATAATAATAATAATAATAATAATAATAATATTATTATTATTATTATTATTATTATTATTATTATATTTTGGGGTTAAAAATATTTTATTATTATTATTATTATTATTTTAAAAGGAAAATTATTTTATAGTATTATTTGTCTGTATTTTATTTAATTATTTTTGGGAGAAAAGAGAAACGGGTTGGAAAATGAAGTGGGTTTGGGTGACTCGGCCTGAGGGAATGTTAAAAGGGGTCAGAAGAGCTAATCCTTAGTCTTGTCTCATTTTGGCATTTCTAAAGGACTAAGAGAAGGAGAGAGGAGAACAAGAGCTTTGGGGAGGAGTGCTTAGGAAGCGACCAAGGACAATCTCCATTACATCAAGAGTATTCTAATTAATGCAATCAGGTACGGGAAAAAAGGGATCTCTGTATGTGAAGTCACATGAGGGAATGAGTAGAGGGAAAGTTTCCTAGGATTTTTAGTAATGTTATATTCGTTATGTTTGGATGTTTGATGGTTTTAATAATTTTTGTATGTATTTCTGGTAAAAATTGTTAAAACTAATGTTTTGGGAGAGAGATTGAATTGTTAAATATGTGTGTGAATTAGGATTCTTGAGGGATTAGAAATTTATCAATTGACGCATGCTCTTGAAAAATTGATGATGTATGTTGTGTTTTCTTGTAAAAATAGGCATTTTGATCGATTGGATTGTTGAAAAGATGTATTGTATGATTGGTTTGGATTGAATTGGGTATTTACGACTATTTGGAAATCGCGTTGGTGTCGAGCATAGTTCTTAGCGTCGAGTGCACATTTATGGGATGAATGTGAAATTTAGAATATTTACGTCGGGCAAAATTATAATTTCGCCAGGTGTGAATTTCTGGAATGGTCTCTCGTTGGATGAAATTATAATTTCGTTGGGCACAATTCTTTAAGGTGGTTTTTGTCATGCCTTAATGTCAGGCAAGATTTCTTGGTGTCGGGCGCGAGCGAGAGCCGAAGCTCTCAAGTTAAGCTTGTGCCAAAAGAAATTGTAATTTCATTGGGCGTGAGTCTGTATTGATGCTGTGAATTGAGAAAGTATTGATGAGTTATTATATATATATATATATATATATATATTTGTGAGTGTAGGATATGATGTAATTAAATGTTAATTACAAAATTGATGTGTATGAGGATGTTGTACATGATCTGT